AAAAAAAGAATTAGAATCTAATTGCCTAAAAAACCTCTGGGCCATCTCTATGATGGGGTGGTTAGGCAGTGGATGCCACATGGCTGACTGCATAGTTCAAGCGCCAGGCCCAGTGGCTTGAGAAATAAGCAAGCACATTTGTGTGCATGCCCAAAATCTTGAAAGGAAGGAGAGATAAAGGAGAAGAGGTTACATAGTGCGATCATTCCTCTCAGGGGTGCTTTCTCCTATCCTTCTCTCTCTGTTTCTTTCTGGTGAGTGCACATGCCCTCTAGCAACCAATCAATCAATTGATCAAATCAAGAAAGGGGAAGGAATAAACAGTATTTTTCTTTCAGGCAGCTGTAGAATAAAAGTTTTTAGGTTGGGGCCAGCAAGTGACATAGAGGATAAGGTGCTGGATCCCCATAGTCCGAGTCCCAGACCCAGTGGAACGGAATTCATGCCAGGCTCATGTGTGTGGATGCCTAATATCCCAAAAGGAGACTGGAGAAGGGACTGTAGCATGGTTATCCCACCGGGGAGGTAATTTGTCACTTTCTTTCTTTCTGTCTCTCTGACGAGCATACACACCCTACTGAAAAAACAATACATAAAGGGACCAGCAGTTGGCGTAATGGCTATGTTGCTAGACTCCCACGTAGCCGACCGCAGTTCCAGTCTCAGACCTGGTGGCTTAAAGTCACACTGGGCGTGTGTGTGTGCATGCCTAAGATTCCGAGAGGAGAAGGGATTGTGTCATGGCCATCCCCTGTGGTGGGTGATTTCTTGCTTTCTGTCTCTCTGACTCTCTCTGTCTTTCTGGCAAGCACACATGCCCTACAGCAAAACAAACAAACAAAAAACCTCTCCAAAAAAAAGGGGAGGCCAGCAAATAGCAGCTTAGTAGCTAAGGTGCTGGACTCCCACATGGCCGATTATGGTTCAAGTCCTGGACCCTGTGGCTTGAAAAATCATGCTGGGCACATGTGTGTGTATGCTCAAATCTTGACAGAAGAATGGAAAAGATGGGGCTACAGTAGCCATCCTCCCTTAGGGGATGATTTCTCACTTTCCCTCTCAACATCTCTCTCCAGCGAATGAATGCATCTTATTGCAAAAAAAAGTTTTCAAGTTAGAAAAACAACTGCCCTTCAGAGACTTGCACTGTAAAACTTGGTAACATCTGTTGCTTACAGACACATGTTTTATTGCTACTATCACAAAGAAGTAAAACAAAATCAAAATAAGGTAGAAATACAAAAAAAATTATGTACCACTTCTTTAAGCTTTGCTTCAATCTCTTCAGAGGTTAGTTTTTTGCTTAATGGTGTTTTTCTCAGCAACATGTCACAGTAATTTGCAAGCAGTTCAGGGCATTTTGATTCAGGCTGAGTTTTTAATCCCACCCTAAAAAACAAAATCAAAAGCAGTTAATGAAAAACAATATTTTCATTATTTTTTTCTAAAATCAATTTTCACAAACTAATTTCTTTTTTTTTTTTTTTTAAGGGTTCTTGGTACAGGGGGTGTGCACTCATCAGAGATATAGAGGAGACAGAGGGAGAGAAAGCAAAAAATCACCCCCCCAGAGAAGATGGATACACCACAATCCTTTCTCCTCCTTTCTCCTCTTGGAGGAAGCCCAGGTCCAGGACTCAAATGGGTCTTTCATGTGGGAGTTCAGCGACGTAACCATTACACCAAATGCTGGTCCCTTTAAGTATTGTTTTTGCAGTAGGGTGTGTGTGCTCATCAGAGAGACAGAGAGAAAGGAAGTGACAAATTACCTCCCCAGTGGGATGGCCATGCTGCAGTCCCTTCTCCAGTCTCCTTTTGGGATATTACTGTTACTGGTCCTGACAAACTAATTTCCTGTGTTGAATATTCCAGTGAGCAGAGCTGGGACTAGGATGAGTAAGCAAGATTTCTAGGGGGCAGAATTTATATAGGCACTTACTCTTAGGATCCATAAGGGTCAGCCTTGTATTTGGAGGATCCTCAGAGAACCTTCCTCACAATTGTACTCTAGGTACCTCTTTGCTTCAATCTAGTGCTGACCTTGCCATGATTTTTAAAAGACTTTATTCAGATTCCTGCAAAAGACTTCTGAAAAACCATGAATAAGAATGGAGAAGGGACTGAGGCATAACCATCTCCCCTTGGGGATGATTTTTCACGTTCCCTCTCATTCTCTCTCTCTCTCTGGCGAGCGCACATGTTTTAAGGAAAAGAACATTCTTAAAAAAAAAAAAAAAAAAAACACTGGGGCTGGCAGGTGGGCAGGTGGCATGGTGATTAAGGATGCTGAACTCCCACATGATGGTTCAAGTTCCGGACCTAGTGGCTTGCTCTCTCACTTTCCATCTCTCTCTGTTCCTCTCTGGTCAAATTGAAATAAATAAGAATAAATAAAAGTTAGATAAAGTAATTGAAAAAGAAAGCTTTGGGGGGCGGCAGGTGTGTGGTGGTTAAGGGTGCTGTACTCCCACATGGCTGACCACGGTTCAAATCCAAGGCCTGGTGGCTTGCTTTCTCACTCTCCCTCTCTTCCTGTCACTCTGTCCCTCTCTGGTCAAATTAAAACACAAATAAATAAAGTTAAATAATTTTAAAAAATCATTTCCCCCCCAAATATCTCAGAATTACATATATAATTTCTTTAAAGTAGTAATTCTCAGCTAGAAACTATATCAAAAGACTATTTTCAATTAACTTTCATTGCTATTTAGTACTACTTTAAAAGTATTATATATCTGGCTCAGATGACTATTTCATATTATTAAATTTTAAATTTTTCTTTTTTTTTTTCAATAGAGAGATGTATGCTATAGGGCATGTGCACTCACCAGAGAGACAAAGAGAACAGAGAGACAGAAAGTGAGAAATCACCCCCCATGGGGGATGGCCACACTGCAGTCTCCTTTCCTCCACTCTCCTCTCAGGATCTTGGTCACGCACACCATATGTGCCTGGCATGAGTTTCAATCTGCCAGGTCCGGGACTCAAACCATGGTCGACCACGTGGGAGTCCAGCGACATAATCATTATACCATCTATTGGTCCCTAAATTTTAAGATTTTCTAAAAACTATAATTAGTTCAAGCAAATTCATATAACAAATGAGAGATCAATATTTTAAAATCATAATATTAAAATTTACATTGAAATTAATTTCCTTTTTTATATTATTGTGCTGACTGATTTTCTATGCTTTTATGGGTAACAGAATATTAACTTTAGTGACTAATGTGGGAAAACCAATCAAGGAGAGATTATAAAATATTAGGAACAAATTTATTTTTGTACATAAAAAATTAACATTTTTTTCATAAAAAGATACAACTTATTACAAAACTATAAACTGAGAGTCTTTATAATAGCCAAAAAAAGCAAAAGTCTTAAAAATAACAACAAAAAACATACTAATAGTGTGACAGGGTAACAGGCATACTTAACATGTAATAAATTCCAAAAATTTAAGTTTTTGAAAAATAGGATTTTAAAAAGCTTACCCTTTCTGCTTCAAAGGTAATTCAAGTTTAAATATAGTAGCATCATTAACAACTGCTTTATATGCCTGCAAAAAAATAATATGAAATGAAATATTAACATTATTTTTAATATTTTTAAAAGAATTATCTGTTTCATTTTATTTGTTATTATTATTTTTAAAATTGAACCAGAGAGAGACAGAGAGGAAAGGGAAAGTGAGAAAGCAAGCCGCCAAGTCTGGGACTCAAATCACATTTGGCAATTTGAAAGTCCAGGCCTTAACTACGACGTCACCTACTGGCCCTTATCTGTGTACTTTAAATATTAAAAATAGGGGCCAGCAGATGGTGTGGTGCTTCAGTCATTGGACTCCCACTTAGGCAACTGTGATTCGAGTCCCAGACGTGGCGCTTGCTTTCTCACTTTCCTTCTCTTGCTCTCTCTCTGGTCAAATTAAAAAGTAATAATAATAAATAAAATTAACTCAAAAACATACATAGATAAATTACTATACTTTAAAAAATACTTAAAAATATAAATATTTATTTTTAATGGCATACCTGGCCTGACATGATATAATTGTCAGTATTTATCATGATATAATTATCAGTATTCTCAAGTGGGTCTTAATGCTGCCTGGCAACCATGCCATTTTCTCTTGTCCTCTCAGTCTCCCACTTTCCTAGACAACGTTTTAGTACCTTCTCCCCAAACTCAGCTAATGATGTGGTCTCTTATTTGACTGAGCAAACCAAGGCCATCAGAATTCTCTTCTCATTTCTATCAGTTCGTCTGAAAAGTCATAATATATTATTTCATGTAAAAATGCACCATAACTTTTCCAATGACCCGACATCAAGTATTCCCTCTCCATTCTGGAACCTCAGTAATTTTACATCTTACAGATTGTCTCAGGATTGCCCACCTTCACCTAATGCCTCATTTCTCTCCCTCTTTTAAAACCCCTAGAAGAATTACCTAAATCATTGTCTCTAATTCCTTTTGTGCATTCTTAGTAATTTTTTAAAGAATTATTTCTTTAACTTTATTTATTCATTCATTTATTTTTAATTTGACCAGAGAGAGAGAGACACAGAGGGACCAACAGTTTGCATAATGGCTATGTCGCTGGATTCCCACATAGTCGACCTCGGTTCGAGTCCCAGACCTGGTGGCTTAAAACTCACGCCGGGCACGTGTGTGTGCATGCCCAAGATCCCGAGAGGAGAATGGAGGTGAAGGGACTGCGGTGTGGCCATCCTCCCAGGGGGGGTGATTTCTCGCTTTCTGTCTATCTGTGACTGTCTCGCCAGTGCACGCGCCCTATAGTAAAAACCTCTCAAAAAAAAAAAAAAGAGAGAGAAACACACACACCACACACACAGAGTGAGAGAGAGAGAGAGAGAGAGAAAGTAAGTCCCTAGGTCCGGGACTTGAACCATGATTGGCTATGTGGGAGTGTCTAGCGCCTTAACCACCATGTCACTTGCTGGCCCCCCTTTTGTGTATTCTTATTTGAAAACTATTCCAATCAGGCTCTCATACCAGCATTCCACTCAATCCTTGTTAAAGGATTATCTGAAGACAATGGTCAATCCCCATATTATATGATCTATCAGCAGTATTTTTAAAAAAGATTTATTTTATTATCATCATCATTCTTCAGTTTGACTAGCAAGAGAAAAACAGATAGACAGAAAGCAAGTCGCCCATTCCAGAACTTGACCTGCAGTCAGTCATGCAGGAGTTCAGCACCTTAACCACCATGCCATCTTACGACCCCTCAGCAGCATTTTAAAACAGTAGACTGGGGCCAGCAGGTGGCATAGTAGTTATGATGCTGGACTCCCACATGGACAACCATTGCTCAGTTTCTGGATCTGGTGACTTTTAACTCATGGAAGGTGCATGTGTGTGTGTGTGTGTGTGTGTGTGCCCAAAATCCCAAGAGGAGAATGAAAGAGAAGGGACGGTGGAGTGGTCATTCCCCACAGGGGATAATTTCCCACTTTCTCTCTCTCTGTTTCTCTCTGTCTCTACGACAAATGCACACCCCCTATAGCAAAAATCTCTCTCTAAAAAAAATTTTTTTTGAAATAATGAGGAAGAAAGCACCTTTCTAACTAAATTATACATTACAAGGGTACCCAATCCTTTTTAAAAAATTTATTTATTTAATTTTATTTTTTATTATTATTATTTTTAAATTTGACCAGAGACAGAGAAAGGGAAAGTGGGAAAGGGCTGCCAGGTGCAAGACGCAAACTGCAATCAGCTATGTGGGAGTCTAGTACCTTAACCACCATATCACCTGCTGGCCCCAGGACATTCAATTCTTATAAAAACACATAGCAAGTCAAGTATAATTACAGCTGCTCTCTCTTGATGAAAATTTGAGTTACTTTTAATGTTACTTAATAGCATAATGATGAAATGTTTATTAAAAGTAAATTATGGGCCAGCAAATGGCATAGCAGTTATGTCGCTGAACTCCCACATGGCCAATCGTGGTTTCAATCCAGGACCAGGTGGCTTGAAAATCATATCAAGCCTCTGTGCGTGCATGCCCAAGATCCAGGAGGAGAAGGAATTGTGGCATGGCCAACCGCCCGGGGGATGATTTTTCACTTTAACTCTCATTGTGCCTGTCTCTCTCTCTCTGGAGGGCATTCGTACCTCTAAAAACAAACAAAAAAAGTAAATTATTACACTAATACTTTAAAAAAACTGTATCTAGGGACTAGCAGTTAGCGTAATGACTATGTCACTGGTCATGTGTTTGACTGCGGTTCAAGTCCCGAACCCGGTGGCTTAAACTCACACGGGGCGCGTGTGCATGCGTGCCCAAGATCCCGAGAGAAGAATGGAAGAGAAGGGATTGCAGCATGGCCATCCCCCATGGGGGGTGATTTCTTGCTTTCTGTCTCTCTCTCTGTCTGTCTGGCGAGTGCACGTGCCCTATAGCAAAAACCTCTTCCAAAAAAAGAAAAAAGAAAAACAAAAAACAAAACTGTATCTATTATTATTATTTTTAAAATAGATGACATGTGCACCCATCAGAGAGAGAGACAAAAAGAGAGATAGAGAGGAGGAAAGCGAGAAAGTAAGCCACCGAGGCCTGGGACCCAAACCGTGGTGACCCTTGTGGCAGTCCAGTGCCTTAACCACCACACCACATGCTGGCCCCTAAAGTAATACGTCTAATACAATGTGTTATTATACAGATATACATACCTTATCTCGTGCAGTGAGAAACCGTGGATCATCTTGAAAAGCTTCTTTGACAAGTTTACTAAACCTATTAAATAGTGTAAGTAGCTGCTCAACATATTTTTCAGAGTCCTAGAAACAAAATATTTAATTTGAGTTTTCTAAAAAGAAAAGAATACTGCAAACAGGAGAAAATATAAATATAATTTTAGTGAAAGACTACAGCTTTAAAATTGGAAAAATTTCTTCTTAAAAATAAAAGATGTCCCAGTATTACTATTTTGCCACTTTGGTTATGATTTCAAATACCTGAACCTGCATTTTAAAAATAACCTTGGTGAACGTCTATCACTACTACAAAAGAAAACTTACAGTAGTAATCGTTTCAGCAGCTGCTACCATGTCTGCCAGGCCAGCACTAATGATATGCTCCTCTAAGTCTTTCAACATGGGCTCTATCCCATTTGGAACTTTGTCCATCAAGGAAAACATCAAATGTAATTCTGAAAAGACAGAACACACTCATATAATCGCTTTATTTATTACATCTTGACTGATTTATAGCATAAAATGCATGTGATAGAAAAACATGGAGAAATATTAGCCGGAAGTTTATAACATTAATGGTATTCTGTGAGTATAATTATTTTAGTTGTTATGGTAAGTAGGACTTCCTAATCTACCTTCTAAGTTTAACAAAAAGTATCCTATTTTTTAAAGAATTATATAATTTTATTTATTATTATTCTTCAATTTGACCAGAGAGAGAAGAGACTGAGAAAGCAAGCTGCCAAGCCCAGGACTCGAACCATGGTCCACTATGTGGGAGTCTAGCACCTTAACCATATGTCACCTGCGGGCCCCTCTATTTTTTTTTTTTTTAATTCCCAGTGAATACAGGTACTTGCCACAAAGAAACAGAGAGACAAGGAGATGGAGAAAGCACCCTCACAGGGCAAGATCAAGCCACAATCTCCATTTGTCCATCCTCTCAGCATTTTGGGCATGTGCACACATGCATATGGTGTGTTTTTCTTTCTTTCTTATTTATTTTTTAAGTTCTTCTAGAGGGCATGTGCACTCACCAGAGATAAAGAAGAGAAGGAAGTGGTAAGAAAGCATCCCCACATGGTGAATGGTTATACCATAATACCTTCACCTCCGTTTCTCCTTTTAGGATTTTGGGCATGTACATAAATGCATTTGGCCTGTTTTTCAAATTGCTGGGTCTGAGACTTGAACCATGCAGACACCCATGTTGGATTAGGCTGCCTTAACTGCCATACCACCAGCTGGCCCACGCACAGTATGTTTTTCAAGCTGCTGGGGCTGGGATTCGCATCATGGTCAATCATGTGAGATCTAGCTCCCTTAACCACTAGGCTATGGGGCTGGCCCCAAATTAATGTTTTTTAATGTAATTTAAAGTAATCATAAACTGCAAAACTCAGCTATTATAAAGGTGAGTCATTTGAACCCTAATATGATGACTTTTTTTTTTTTTGGAGAAGTTTTTGCTATAGGGTGCGTGCGCTCACCAGACAGACAGAGAGAGACAGTGAGATAAGAAAGCGAGAAATCACCCCCCAGGGGGGATGGCCATGCCACAATCCCTTCTCCTCCATTCTCTCTCAGGATCTTCGGCACGCATGCAAGCACACGCGCCCGGTTTGAGTTTAAGCCACCAGGTCCGAGACTCGAACCACGGTCAACCTCATAGAAGACCAGTGACATAGCCCTTATGCTAACTGCTGGTCCTGATGACATTTTTTTTTTCATAAATTCTAAGAAGTACAAAAGTTTACTCTGAAGATTAGTACATTTCATAAAGTAGTTGCAATGTTAAATACATAACCACAATTAATGGGCAAAAACATTCACTGGTAATGAATATAAAAGAACTTTACTGGGGACAGCAGGTGGCATAGTGGTTAAGGCGCGGGACTCCTGCATGGCTAACTGTGATTTGAGTCTCGGAGCTAGCAGCTTGAAACTCACACTGGGCCATGTATGCATGCATGCCCAAAATCCCAAGAGGAAGGAGAAAGGAGGAGAGCGAACTGCCGCATGGCCATTCCCTCTGGAGGATGATTTTTCACTTTCTCTCTCACTGTATCTGTTTGTCCCACTCTGGTGTATACAAATGACCTAAGGCAAAAATCCAAAACAAGTGTATTAGAAAATGATAATACAGAACTAACTCCATAGGGTCAGTCCCACACCACAGAGGTTAAGAGCTATACATAGAAATCCAGATCACACATGATTGAATAGAGTTGAAATCCTGCCCCCAACAGCCTGAAAAGCACACAGGGCACATGCATGTGTATACACGCCAAATCCTGACAGGATAGGAAAATGTAGGAAAAGGAATTAGAGTGTGACCACATTCCACTAGGATGTGCTTTCTCTCTCCCTCCTCCTCTCCTTCCCTCTGGCAAACGCACATGACCTCTTGCAATTAAAAAGAAAAAAAACTGAATTCATAAAGAATTTTTCGATTTACAAAGCATTTTTTCTTATGTTACAGTGTTCAATTGGCCTTCACAGTAGCTCTACCTCACAGTACTGGTTACTACTAAAGAAATCCTTTGGACGGGAGTCCAACATGGATTGGACATAACTCTACTGAGACGGGCATAGACCAGCATAGAAAAATATGTCATGACTTTCCCAATGACCTAATAGAGTTCAAGTATTTGACTTATGCCAATGAGCACCTGTATTTTTTTAAAAATAATTATTGTATTTGTTATGTTTTTGGTTTTTTTTTTTTTTTTTTTTTTTTTTTTTAATTTGACCAGAGAGAGAGAAAGAGAAAGTAAGAAAGCAAGTTGCCAGGTCTGGGACTCAAACTGCAATTGGCCATATGGGAGTCCAGCACCTTAACTACTACACCATCTGCTGGCCCCAAGCAGCTGGTTTTATTTCTAAAGAGTGTATAAACTTAAATTAACTGAAATAAATACTTGGGTTGATCCTGTGGCCTGGTGGTTAAGGAAGCCAGATTCTACATGGCTGACTATGCAGCTTCAGTGGCTTGTAAAACACACCAGGCTTGAAAAACACATCAGGCAGGCCAGCAGGTTGGCATGGTGGTTAGGGGTGCTGGACTCCCACATGGAAGACTACAATTTAAGTCCTGGACCTGGCAGCTTGCTTTCTCACTTTCTCTTTCTGTCTCTCTGTCCTTCTGTGGTCAAATTGAAATAAGTAAATATAGCTAAATAAAGGAATTCTTTTTAAAAAAAGAAAAACATACCAGGCATATGTATATGTATACCCAGAATCAAGACAGGATGGAAAAAAAAGAGAAGGGTACATGGTAGCATTACCACACCCCCTGGAGGGGGAGGCATTCTTATTCTCACTGTATCTCTGTCTCTCTCTGCTATATATATGCACCCTCTGGCAAAATTTAAGAAAAAGAGAGAGAAGAAATACTGTACTTTAAATGCAAGCAGAGATTAAATGAGACCTTGCTTTTAGACACTCTAAAATCTAGAGTCTTAGAAGTGGTTATCTTGGGGTAGTAAATAGCACATTTTTAAAAATTTTTGCTATATACTTGCTACCTCTCAAAGTATATCTGTGTTAAGAAAATATTTAAATAATAAAAAAAGATGCTTCAGAAATATTTTTTAAAGAATTATTTTTATTTAATTTTATTTATTCATTTATTTATTTTAATTTGACCAGAGATAGACAGAGAGAGAGAAAGTAAGCCACCAGGTACGGGACTCAAACCATGGTCAGCCATGTGGTCAGCCATGTCCAGCATCTTAACCACCACACCACGTGCTGGTCCCAATGCTTTAGAAATATTAAATACTAAAATACTTTGGGGGAGGGGACAAAGATTATTAACATGGAGTGTTTTATTATTTCTTAAAAAGATTCACTGTAATGTTTAATATCAAAGCCAAAAACCTACTTCTACCCTATACTGTATGTTCACAATTTAAATCAGCCCTTTTGGCTTTTAAATTGCTAGAGGGTGCATGCACTCACCAGAGAGAGAGAAAGCACCCTCCATGGAAGACGGCCACGCCCCAGTGCCTTCTCCTTCACTTATCTCTTTGAATTTTGGTCATGCGTGCACATGTACCCGGTGTGTCCTTTAAGCCATCATAGTCTGGGACTCAAACCTCATAGCTGGGCACGTGGGATCCACCTACCTTAACCACAAAGCCACCACCTGGTCCTTATGTGAGTACAGATTTTACTTTTGACAAAAAAAAAAAAAAAAAAGAAGGAAGAAAATTACACACACATACATATAGGTCTTGATACCTAAAGGGGAAAAAAATGCTTAAAAATTCAGGTTTGCGGACCAGCAGGTGGTGTGGTGGTTAGGGCGCTGCATATTTCCACATGGCTCGTCAAGGTTTGAGTACCGGACCTGGTGGTTTGTTTTCTCACTTTCCCTCTCTCTTTCTGTGTATCTCTCTGGTCATATTAAAAAAGAAATGAATAAATACAACTAAATAAATTTTTAAAAAATTCTTTAAAACAAAAAATTCAGATTTGTGGGACCAGCAGAAGGTGTAATGGGTACATTGCTGAATGTAGTCAACATGGTTTGAGTCCCAAATCCTGTGGCTTAAATCTCATGCTGGGTACATGTGCGTGCATGCCCAAAACCCTTAGAGGAGAATGAAGGAGAGAAAAGTGAAGCATGCCCATCCCCCAAAAGGTGATTTCTCACTTTCTGTCTCTCTGTCTCTATCTCTTGGGTGAGCGCATGCACCCTACAGTAAAAATCCCTCTCCAAAAAAAAAAAAAAATCAAATTTGTAAATTCCTTGACAGTACTTTTGTTATTTTATCATTTTTAAATTTTATTTACTTTTCTTTCTTTTTTACCAGAGGGTGCACTTCCCAATGAGAGAAAGAGAACCTCCCAATGGGGCATGACCACAATCCTTTTTCCTCAGTTTCTCCATCCCATCAGGCTTTTGGACAAGCGTGCATATGTGCACAACATGTTTTTTCAAGCTGGGGTTGTGGCCAAAATCTGAACCCTAGTCAGCCACAAGGGACCTGTCTCCCAGTACATAGCATTTAACCACTGAGCTATAGGGCCAGCCCTGTTTTTATCATATCCTTTATGCACAGTTCACTCTTACAAATATATTATGGCAGCCCGGCAGGTGGCGTGGTGGTTAAGGCACTGGACTCCCACATGACCAACCACGGTTCAGGTCTCAGACCTGACAGTACTTTCTCACTTTCCCTTTCTCTCTACTAATAAATTAAAATGTAAAAAAAGTTTAAAAAGATGAAGCACAAATATATTATAGCCTCACAGAATGATCTAACAGCAATTTATTAAGTGGTTTGCTTCAAAGATACCCTCTAAAAGGATTATGATTTTATGTAATGTTTTACCTACTTTCAGTTTCATTTCGCTTGATCATGCCTTGGCATTCCGCTAAGATAGTCTCTTTAAATGATGTCACCAGGGCATTTACACAGCATTCCATGAGCTGAAATACATTTAAAAATTAGTCAAGGCTACTGCAAACTTTGTAGGACATATCTATTCAGACTCTCAAAACAGAAACATATTATTGAACAGAAAAAAATGAAGTATACTGAAAGCAGATTTTACTTACCTTTACTACAGGATTATTGAAGGTGAATGTTCTATGCTATTTTACCAAAATATATTTCCCACTAAGAAAAAACCTATATAACTATCTTTAGAGTAAGAACTTTAACAAAAGTCCTAAGGAAGGGAGAAAAGAATCTAAAAATGTACAAAAACAAATAAAAATTAAGGTTTGATTAACTCTTCCTCTCTACAGAGAACCTGCATTGGGATTAGATGGAAAAAAACAAGGAACTTTTAAACAGAATAAACTTTACCAGAGTATCCCAACTATTTTTTCTTTTTCTTTTTTTTTTTTTTTGCTATAGAGTGAATGCACTTGCTGGAGAGCAAGAGAGAAAGTGAGAAATCATTCCACAAAGAAGAATGCCACTCTGCAATTCCTTTTACATTCTCTTCTCAGGATTTTGGGCACATATGTACATGCACCCAGCATGTTTTTCAAGCCACTGGATCTAGGATTCAAACCATGGAGTTGGTCATGTGTGAGCTAGTCCCTTAACCACTATGCCACCTGCTGGCCCACTTCAACTCATTCTCTTTTTTTGAGAGGTTTTTGTTATAGGGCATGTACACTCACCAGAAAGACAGAGAGAGACACGCACATGTCCCTGGTGTGAGTTTAAATCACTGGGTCCAAGACTTAAACCACAGTCGACTACATGGGAGTCCAGCAACATAGCCTTTACGCCAACTGCTGGTCCTTCGCTTCAACTCATTCTTAAAGATACGTAGGAGTTCAGCAGTTGGTGTGGGTGATAAAGGTCTGGAATCCCACGTAGCTGACCACAGTTCAAAGTCCTAAACTTGGTGGCCTGAAAATCAAGCCAGGCACATGAGCATGTGTGTCCAAAATCTGGAGAGGAGAATGGAGGAGAAGGGACTGCAGTGTGGCCATCCCCCTGGGGGGTGATTTCTTACTTTCTCTCTTACTGTCTCTGGTGAGAACACATACCCTATGACGAAAACCTAAAAAAATTTAAAAAGAAAGCTCAGTGGCAGTAAGGCAAGAGGTATGGAGTGGGTAGCAGGAGACTAGTAAAAGACATTATTTCTTTTTTTTTTTTTTAAGAGATTTTTGCTATAGGGCGCATGCGCTCACCAGAAAGACAGAGAGACAGAAAGCAAGAAATCACTCCCCAGGGGGATGGCCACGCCGCAATTCCTTCTTTTCCATTCTCTCGGGATCTTGGGCACGCACGCACACGCGTCCGGTGTGAATTTAAGCCACCGGGTCTGGGACTCAAACTGCGGTCGACTACATGGGAGTCCAGTGACACAGCCATTATGCCAACTGCTGGTCCCTCCGAAAAGACATATTTCAAGTAGGACGACAAGGGTCTAGTGTTCTAGAGATTAGCAAGAAAATCCCTTAAATGAGGAAAACAATTTTCGCACCATCTCTGCTCCCTCATATCATGTAATAATTTACTCCTCTCGTAGGGATAAAATAAAAGGTTGTGAGCACTGCAGCAAGGGGCACTAAGGTTGATACATCTCTTCTGAAGAACATCACATACCATATTAAGGGAAGGAACTGTGTGCACCTTAAAATTTTTTCATTGTTTCTCAGTCTTTTGACTAAAATCAAGTATAAAAATGCTTTGTTGGAACCAGGAGTTAGCATAATGGCTATGTCTCTGGGCTCCCACGTAGTCGACCGTGGTTCGAATCCTGGACCCGGTGGCTTAAACTCACGCCAGGCGTGTGTGCATGCATGCCCAAGATCCTGAGAGGAGAATGGAAGAGAAGGGATGGTGGCATGGCCATCCCCTCTGGGGGGGTGATTTCTCACTTTCTGTCTCTGTCTTTGTGGTGAGCGCGTGCACCCTATAGCAAAAACCTCTCCAAAAAAAAAAAGGTTACAAAAATCATCTTGGAGGGACCAGCAGATGGCATAGCAGTTACATCACTGGACACCTATGTAGTCGATCGCAGTTCGAGTCCCAGACCTGGTCGCACCACATTACCTATAGTAAAAACCTCTCCAAGAAAAAAAAATAGTCTTGGAGGCTGCCTCTGTGGCACAGTGGTAATGTGCTGCTCAAGAGAAGCCAGATACCATGTGGCAACTGAGGTTGAAATGCCTGGGCAGGTCAGCCTTGAACATACCAGGCATGCGTGGGGATGCTCGAATTCTGATAGGCTGGATGACTGGAGGAAGGAGACTGGAGTGTGACCAAACCCCGTGAAAGGTACTCTCCTTTCCCACTCATGTGTGCATATGTGTGTTCTATTATGAATAAAGAAAAATCGGATGAAGACAAAATAAAAATATTTTCCTGAAATTAACATAACATTGGTAATTAATGAGGCTGAATTTATTGGATCATCAGAAAAGTCCTAACGTGTTTTTCTATGCAAAAATCTGTCATAACTTTCCTGACAACCCAATAGATCAGGGGAGTCATTCCATTGCTCTTCCTTTTTTTAAATTTATTTTATTTTAGTTTTGCTATAGGTGCGGGCATTCGCTAGAGAGACAGTGACACAGAGAGACAGAGAGTGATTTCTCACTAGAAATTACTCCCTAGGGTGCATGGCCATGCCACAATCCCTTTACCTCCATTGTCCTCTCAGGATTTGGGGCATGCATGTACACAGGTCCAGAGAGATTTTCAAGCTGCCAGGTCATGTGCGAGAAATCACCCCCCAGGACAGATGGTCACGCCGCAATCCCTTCTCCTCCATTCTCCTCTTGGGATCTTGGGCACGCACGCACATGCGCCCGGCGTGAGTTTTAAGCCACCGGGTCCGGGACGCAAACCACGGTCGACTACATGGGAGTCCAGTGACATAGCCATTACGCTAACTGCTGGTTCCCAGGGATCCAGTTTCTTTTGAATAGGGCATTATGGCTGCACCTCAGAGCCAGCCCAAGAAAGTTGCTTACTCAAGTCTCTCTTTGAGAGTTAGGCTATTACCTTTTATTTATTTTTTTTCAATTAAAGATTTTTGCCACTGGGCACATGTGCTCACTGGAGAGAAACAGAGAGAGTGGGAATGGCCTTACCACAATCCCTTCTCCACTATCCTCTCAGGATTTGGGGCATACATGCACACATGCTACTGATTCCAGGACTTGAACCATGGAGTCGGCCATGTAGGAATCCAGTGCCTGAACTACCACACTACGTGCTGGCCCACTACTGCCTTTTAATCCATGTTTCTGTTCTAAAAAAAGTATGCACATAAAGTGGTTGAGAAATTCTTACCTTGCAAGGTGGAAAGCTCTGCCCCACCCAATGAGTAAACTCATCCTATACCAGCTCTAGAATATGCACAACTGAGCATTCCTTCCTTCAGAATGAGAATAAAGAAATATAACCATGTATAATTAATGGAGATACTCAAGCCCAGATCACTTATTTTTATCTCTATTTTTTATTTCATTACAAACTTTCACACATATATCTTCCTGTTCACTGGTAGTTCAAATTTTACAAATCCCAAAAGTCTAGACCAATGTGTTTCAAACTATTGTGAAATCAGTTTTAATGGCTGTGACCAGCTTTTCTTAATGATATAGAACAGGAGCCAGGGACCAGCAGGTGGCGTGGTGGCTAAGGTGCTGGACACTCCCACATGGCTGACCACAGTTCGAGTCCCGGATCTGGTGGCGTGCTTTCTCAGTTTCCCTCTCTCTCTCTATCTCTGTGTCTTTCTGGCGAGCGCACGCGCCCTATAGTGAAAAACCTCTCCAAAAAAAAAAAAAAAGAATGAAGACTCTGGAGCAGATGTCTCATTCTCTTAAAAAAAAAAAAAAAGAATGAAGACTCTGGAGCAGATGTCTCATTCTCTTAAAAAAAAAAAAAAAGAATGAAGACTCTGGAGCAGATGTCTCATTCTCTTAAAAAAAAAAAAAAAGAATGAAGACTCTGGAGCAGATGTCTCATTCTCTTAAAAAAAAAAAAAAAGAATGAAGACTCTGGAGCAGATGTCTCATTCTCTTAAAAAAAAAAAAAAAGAATGAAGACTCTGGAGCAGATGTCTCATTCTCTTAAAAAAAAAAAAAAAGAATGAAGACTCTGGAGCAGATGTCTCATTCTCTTAAAAAAAAAAAAAAAGAACAGGAGCCCAAAAATATCAGAGTGCAGCACACAATGAAATGCGTTTCAGATATCTCTATCTATATAAATATAAGATATATGAAGCCACAATATAAAATGTATTTATTGTTATAGTTTCAATGATGATTAAAAGGAAAGGCTACATTAAATTGTAAAGATCACTGAAATAAACCAAGAATTTTATAACTGCTTAAATGAAAGGCATTAGAGAAATAAAAGGTTGTTGAAGCAGTTTCTCACTTCAGAAGTTAAACTAATTATAAAGTATTAGAATAAATACATAACTATAGGAAGCACCTTTTTTTTTTTTTTTTTTGGGGGGTTTTTTGCCATTGAGAGGTTTTTTGCTATAGGGCGTGTACGTTCACCAGAAATACAGAGACAGAAAGCGAGAAATCACCCCCACCCAGAGGGGATGGCCACGCCACAATCGCTTCTCCTTCATTCACCTTTCAGGATCTTGGGCACACACGCACATGCGCCCACTGTGAGTTTATTTTTTGGAGAGGTTTTCGCTATAGGGTGACATAGAGACAGAGACATAGAGAGAGACATAGAGACAGAAAGCGAGAAATCACCCCCCAGGGGGGATGGTCACGCCGCAATCCCTTCTCCATTCTCCTCTCGGGATCTTGGGCATGCACGCACATGCGCCCGGCGTGAGTTTTTTTAAGCCACCGGGTCTGGGACGTGAACCGCGGTCAACTACATGGGAGTCCAGCGACATAGCCATTACGCTAACTGCGGGTTCCCTCCGCCCACTGTGAGTTTAAGCCACCGGGTCCAGGGCTCGAACCACAGTCGA